GGGAGGCTGGGGCAGCTGGTCCGGAGCCGGGGCTGGAGCAGAATCCGCCGTGCTTCGCAGCGTGCCCTCCGCGTCCCGGCGAGCTCGCAGTGAGCATGTGCAAGCGAGCCGCACATGCCCGGTCGCACCGTGAAGCCTCTGCCCTCACCTTGCCCTCTGCCCACACTCCGGCTCCCTCCCAGCAGGTGGAGGGCGCTGGGGAGCGGTGGGGTCCCGCCCGGCGTCGCGCTGCTGGAGCGGGGTGTGTGCGCGCCTGTGCGCGCGTGCAGGGCGGGAGCTAGAGTGACCCACAACGCGGAGCTGCGCTCAGTCGATCTGAACAACTCTGGCCACACGCAGTCATGAGTTGATCTTGACACATCATGAGACTTTTTTTTTTCCTTCAAAAAGCAGGTAGCCAGGTGGGAAGGCGAATGAACCCCGACACGGACCCTGCTCTAGCTGTTCCCTACGCTTTTTTTTTTTTTTTAAAAGAAAACCTTTCATTTCAGGATCCTCGCATGAGGAGAGCGCGTTCCCCAGAGCCCGGTCTCTCAAGTCAGACACCAGAGGCTGGGAGCCGGGCTATAAAAATACTAGAGCTGGCAACTCCGCAAGTTCCCACCTCAGCAGTGATTTCATCCTGACTTCTCCCAGACCTTTCATATAGGACGAATTATTACCAGGATGTTCATAGATTTAGCTCTCTAAACACACCTGCTAGTATATTGACTCTCAACTGACCTTCACATTTTGATTTCTTTTTTTAATTATGACCTTTGATTTTTTTTTTTTCTCTCTCATTTGAGCTCTGAGCTTGATAGACTGACTTTTTTTCTCCCCCTCTCTTGAGTTTATATTGCTTCTTCGGCTACTGTCAACAATCTGCTTGTTATAAAATGTTAATTGTTTGGCTGAAGAAGTACGTTAAACAATGCTTTCATATTTTATAACAAAATCCAGTAAAGTCTTTTGATGTGATGATGTGTAATTCTACCGCATGCTTTTTGTGACGGCTTCGTCGGATACATGTTGTAACATAGGGTGGAACCCGAGTTTTCAAACCAGATCCAGCAAACATATGAGTATCTGCTCCCCTGTGTCATGCCACTGACACACATGGAGCTGTCATGGAGCAGAGCTCTTCAAAATCTAAATTATGCACTTTTCCACTTACTACCCTCAGATTTTTTCCGTCTTCCTCAGGGGAACATCTGTCTCTGACAGGGGATCTGCCTACCCACACTCAGTGAACACTCATACGGGCACATTTGAAAACATAGGAAATGAACAGATCCACTTCTACTCTCCAAGTACATAAACATACTGTACTTTCCACACATCCCCCCCCTCCCCACTCCATGTGTGCAAACACGTACTCTCAGCACCCACTTCACTCACATCCCTTTCATCCGCCTATGCGGCTCATACACAAACGTGTGCACACACATATACACTGATACACACTACCACATATATATGCATACAACTATATGTTCTAATATGTGCACGTTCCCAGGCCGATGGTATTTGGGAATGTGGTCTTTCAGCATACAAGTCACGGGAATCCTAGGGAAGTTACATTTCTGTGCTGTGCTTTTCCTTTTCACCTTTTCCACCAAACTGGGCAGGTATGGCTACCCAATTTTGACAAGGCATCAGAGGACAACAGTAAACCCCGATGGCAATAGCTTATATTATCTACCTCCCTTTCTTCAAGAAGAAACTTCAGGAAAATGAAATCACATGAACTGCAATGGAGGGTCCTTGTGGGAAAATCCCAGGAAGCACAAAGGGTGTTGAGTTCAAGATCTAAACAACTTGCAGCCCTCATGGATTTAACTCAAGCTTTTGACAAAGAAACAAAAACATCATTTCTACCAGACAGCTGTTTTTACTATCAAAATTACTTAGATCAGTCTGAGTGCGAAGTGTGTTCCTACAATCCAAAGAGGACATAGTGCCGAGAATCAGCTGGCAAACTTCCTAGCACGAACTACCTCTTGCTGCCCTAAAAAACCCCCAACATTTTTTCAGTTGTTACTTTCCATCAATTCACAGCACTAACCCCACGATTTCCCCATGGTTTCTCTGCAGTTCTGAACTCAGGCAGCTTTCACACATTAAATCAGCCTAGATCACTAGCCTGGATTAACTCTTCTCTGGCTTTTTTTCACCTAGAATTTCTCATCTGGTGACAGGTCTACCAAGATATCAGTATGTGATTGTCTCTAGGACTTGCCTCTGCAGCAGTTCCTTCTTCCCCAGTCATCTGACTGCCACATTAGCTGTATGAAGCTAAATCCTTAACATTGGTAAATAAGTATGGATAAAGCACTCAAGCCATGATTTAATAACGTAGTTATTTAGGTGCTTGACTTACACATTGAGTTGTCTGGATATGGTCAATGACATTACTTGTGAACTTAAAGCTAGGCATGTGCTTAAGTAATTATTAATATTTGTTTTGTGTAGTGCCTGGGGATACGTCTGTGATACTTCTGCGCCATTTCTGATCACAATGCTGAGAAGTATGCTCCATGCATTTTCTCCTCTGTGTCAAATGTGTAAATGAGCACATCAGAGACAGAGCATGTCACAGCAACTGTGCTAGGCACTGTACAAACACAATAGATGGAATCTGCTCCCGGTTTTCAGCCACAGGGCCAGAGAGTGAGTCAAAATTTAAAACTGGGTTTCCCTGACACCCCGTCCTGTGCTTGTTCTGGAAGGGTTTGCTGCCTCTGTTGATTTCAACAACAGATAGAGGTTTCGTGGAAAAGACAGCTGTAAGAAAGGAAATGAGTGAATTGGTAGCAAGCAGAATCTATACTTACAAATTCTATATACCAGACAGTCTTTTATGCTCTAAGCAAGCAAGAAAAACACGTTCTTTCCCTCAACGGGCACAATTTCTAGAGCTTTTCCTCATGTTATTGGAAGAGAGATTTGTTTACTGCAGCACTACCTGGGAAAAGGATCAAGTCTATGAGTTCGCACAGCACAAGTGGGACTGCTCTCTCTAGCTTATGCATAATATAACATTGAAATGGAACCTGAATGGCATCAGCATTTAGTTGTCCACAGATTTTATTCACCAGAATTGTTATGAAAAATGGGTAAATACATCCTACTAAACTGTGAGAAATGTGGAGCTGTATATGCTGCTTTCCTTCACTATTATAGCTGTGTCCAAGCATGCAAAATTGGTTTCTTATGCATCTCCAAGATGTGGGTGGCATTTAATTTGGAACTGGTCCCGTGTCTTCTAGGAATTGAAAGAGATAAAAATATTATTCAAAACAGAATTGAAGCAGTGCAGTGAATTCAGTCTTGTGCTGCAGGAACTGGAATTTCTATCCCATGGAAAACTTCATGCTTCCAAACAAATATTTTTGTCGAGAATCTAAACACAAATTCCAGCACACCAAATTTCCAACGGGTTGGGAATATTTAAAACTAGCTATTTAGGGGTTTTCTAAAATGGATTTCTTTTTTCAAACAATTTCACACAGCACCTAAGTTGCCTCTATGGTTCATTGGCTTCCCATCCTATAAGTCAGGTCAGAGAGACACTTACATACATAGCTCTTACATTGTCCCAGGGAGCTGAGTAGACAACTATTCAGAGATCTGGGCAGCCAGGAAGCCTTCCTATCTCCTGAGTAGGGACCCAGTCAGCTAGGGAGCTGCCCACCTAGAGGATCGGGGTAGCCTCTATTGCGTGGTAGCCCACCAGGTAGGATTTAAAAAAGATGGAAGCCCAGAGGCCCCAGCTCCATGGCAACCTGCTGGGTAAGTAGCTGAGGATTGAGGAACTGGAACAAAACAGTGTGATTTGTAGAAATAGCGTATTCTGTGAGGATGGAAAATTAACAACTTTCTCCTAGGCTTACCTGATACTCAGGAATGACCTGACACTGTTAATCAGGACTAACAGGTTTCTCCATTTTATCCAACTCTGTCAGAAAAGGGGAACAATGCTGACATATTTAAATTAGGATCTTCAACCATTTTCTGATATACAACTAGAAAGGTGAGAAGCCCTGCTAGCCCAGAAGGGGATAAAAAAGGATATAATGGGACCCTGACTGGTTTTCTCAGGAGTAATATGTGCTTTTCCATATTTAAACATTCTGAATTATTATGATCCTTATTATAACTTAATTCATTTACAAAGTATGCTAAAAATAGAGAGGCATCTTGTCCCAAAGTTTTTGCAATATAAGAATGATTATTTTTGTTCTCTCTGTCATATAGAAAAACATCAGGTGTAAGTAAAAAGGATATTGCTGGCTAGCAGAGTGTAATCTTGCAGGACTCTAAAGTCACTGGCTCTAATCCAGATAAGAACTTAAGCATGTGCTTAACTAATACCAGAGTCGGCTCAAAAACTGTGTGACAAAGCACTTCAGTACACGCTTAACTTTATATTCAACGTGAGTATTCCAAGTTTAGGCATGTGCTGAGGTGCTCTGCTGAATCAGTGCTTAGCACCTTGTAGGAATGAGTCTTCAACACAACAACAAAGCTGTAACAAAGGGCCCTTGTGCTCATAGCTCACATTCATCATTCAGAATGGGAGGAATCCATTTTCTTTGTGTAGGTCTATTTATTTGTCATGAATATTTATTTATCTGTAAAAAGTAAAAATTGAGCAACATTAGCATTAAACAAATTGCTAGCTGTTTCTTTAGTACTGATGAGGGACCAATCTGTGTTGCTTAGCCTTCTACTTCACTCAAATTCAGAACATTTGTAACTGATAAACAAAGTGCATGTTAGCTATTAAAGCTCAAAATTAGGCAGGCAGTAAAAAGTAATCTGAGAGGAGGACCATAGCTACTGATACTATTGAAGCTGTTCTTAAAACATATGGTTTCCAATTTTTAACACAATGCACAAAAATAAAACCCTGCACCCGATGAGTGCCTGATCTTTTCATCACTAAGTGATCAAATATGCCTGCTTGTTTTTTAGTTTTATGTCCCCTTCCCCTTTCTGTTTGTTTAAAAGGAATCTTGAGCTGAAAATTTGGTCCCTGGTACCAAAACAAGAAAGGCTATGTGAATCCATTTGTAGTTCTGGCTTGAAGGGGAAAAAAAGCACATCAGAACTTTTGCCTAGTGTTTGAAAAGGCTGTCTTGTCTGCATTTTTTTCAGTTTAGAAGAAGGATCATCTTTCTTTCACAGTGGAAAAGCTACTTGCACTGTGAACATAGTTACATTCTACAAAGATAGTGTGTAAAATATTTGGGTGCTTGTACACGTGATTGGTGATTTTTTCAGGGTGGAATGCTACCAAACTTAACTGTGAAAAACCACGCTTGTCAGTAGAATAACGACATTTCATTTGTGGCTATATTTGCATAAAAGTTAGTTTTGCATGTGAAAATTAATTTATCTTTTTTTCCCCACAAGTTCCCCCCCCCCCCCCCCATAATATTTTAATAATGTAACAGGATGCAAAAAAATGCTCCAACAAGAGGAGAATTCTCCTTTCTCTCCATCGTATAAGCAGGGGTTGGAACATTACATGAAATGCAGATTCACTCAGGTGCAGTCCACTCATTGCGCACTGATTAAAAAGCAAACAAGAGTGGTTGCTGTGCCTGAAAGGATTTAAGGTTTGAAGCAGAGAGATGTGGAGGAATGTGAAAGGTGGATGGGCACTATTTTTACATTGAGGTTTTTTATGTTATTTCAATGACTAGTGAGGAAAATCTCCCAGAAGATTTGGGGCATTAACTCAGCTTGTGTATTCACTTCTGTCCTGTTTGAGAGCAGGGTTGGGGACTTGGTCTAGTCACATGCATAGCCAGTAATTATAGAGTATTTGG